GTTTACACATCCCAACTTTTTTTTATTCAAGATCTTTTAATTGAATTTTTTTCATTTTTTCAAAAAACATAAACAAGAAGCAGCAAAGTTGGCAATGAAACATTTGCATGTAAGCATTAGTGAAGACATTAGTGGATTGAGTGTATGTAAATTTTAACACGTATAGTATAAACAACATCAGAGAAAAGAAAATAATCCATCCCCAATCACTTTAAAAGGAAAAAAGAAAAGAAACAAGAGACTGCATTACCCAAAGTGAGTATTATTGTCAAAGAGACAGGAATAGATTCAGGAAAGGTCCCCAAACTTTCTCAAATTTACCCATTTTCTGTTGGAGTGTGAATCTGATTTTCTCCAGCTTTAGACAGGACATGTCAGCTCAGCATGAGTGGGTGGAGACGGTTCCCTCCATCTGAACAGAATGGCTCGTCTGGCCAGGAGAGAGGTGAACGATATTACATGCTGTTGGTTTTTATTTAGATTTGTCACTCCCTCTGCCACACCAAACAGAGCAATCAGTGGGTCAGGGCTCAGACGTGTATCTAGTACACATGATAAAGTCTGAAAAATTTCCCTCCAGTATTTGTTCAGAGATGAGCAAAAACAAAACATGTGGGAGAGAGACACTGCAGCATATTTGCATCTCACACAGTACAGGCTGACATCAGGATATACAAAGGACAGTTTCAGTTTAGAGATGTGAGCTCTGTGCACCACTTTGAATTGGATTAGATTAGACAATGCCTAGCTCACAGAGAACTGGAGCGCACCAATCTGAGTATGGAGGTCCAGGAGTCCTCTGAAATAGAGGAGCCAAGATCCTCTTCCCAAGCAGCTTTGATTTTATCTGAGGAAGCACGCTTCAAATACGCTACAAATCAACGAAATAGGATGTTTTTAGAGGAAGAATAGTGTCAACAATTTTGGTGTCCGTTGAAATGGAGAGGTTGGGCAAATGAAAAGTAATAAAGTGCCATATTTGGAGATACCTAAAAAAGTTGTACAAGGGAACACTAAATTTTTCACTTAGTTGTTGAAATGAAGCTAACATGTTACTGAGGAACAAGTCTTTGAAGCGTACTATGCCCTTTCTCTGTCATTATTTGAAAACAGAGTCCTGAGATGAGGGTTTGAAGAGTTGGATAGACATGATAGGGCTTTATAGAGAGAAACAGAGCGATCAAAACATTTCCAAAATTGTTCCCAGATTTTTAGCGAGTGTTTCAAAATCGGGTTTGTAATTTCATTTAACCTTTATTTACAGGTTAGACTCATTGACTCATTGCCTCGGGGACTCATTTACAAGAAATACCTGTTTTTAACAAAGAGTGATAACAACAGTAATAGTTGTGGTGGAAGCGAGAGCGAAAATCCCAAAAAGGCCAGGGTGGACCATTTCTCAGAACACTGTGACTCCATCGCTACCCAGTCAGGGTAGTCAGGCATGTTGAAATAAAATGACCAAAGTGCAAGACAATGTAAGTTTGCTGCCCAATATTAGAAGTGGAAAGTTGCGGCCTTGGTATTTTGGAGATGTGTCTTATTTAAGCATGGATATTTTCCCTGCCACAGATATGATGAAATGATGGAATCTAACTGTACAAAAAATGAACCAGGGATAAAAACAGGAATGGTTTGAAAGAGATACAAAAATTTAGGTAAAGTGACCATCTTGACTGAATTAATGCGGCCTATGAGGGATATGGAAAGCTGTGACCACCGGGATAATGCCTGCTTTGTCTGGTTCAACAGAGAGACAAAATTTTCTTGATATAAATCTTTATGCCTCCTCGTAACTGTTACACCCAGGTAAGATAATTTTATATTTTCAATTTCAAAAGGCCAGTTGCTGAAGTCGAGAGTCTGCGCCAGGGTATTAATAGGGCAAATTTCACTTTTACTTAGGTTTAACTTGTAGCCAGAATGTATTCCAAATTCCTTAAGCAATGATAGAATGGATGACAGTGTGTCAGTCGGACGAGAGATAAAGAGTAAAAGGTCATCAGCATAAAGGGAGACCCTGTGCTCCATACCACCTCTCCAGATTCCTGAAATTGTGTCACAGGACCGTAAAGCAGTGGTTAGAGGTTCAATTGCCAGGTCAAAAAGCAGAGGGCTCAGTGGGCAGCCCTGACGAGTTCCTTGATGCAGACTGAATTGTTTAGATATCTGTGAGTTGGTACGAATGGTTTAAGTGGGATGTGAATAAATTAATTGCACCCATGTAATGAAATTGGGGCCAAAACCAGATTTGTCAAGAACATTGAACAAGTAGTTCCATTCAACATGATCAAATGCTTTCTCCATGTCAAGGGAGATGACACACTCAGGGACAGTAGTCGAAGGAGAGTAAACCTGATGTTAAATAAGTACTGCCTGCCTTTAATGAATCCAGTCTGGTCTTTAGCTATAATAAAAGAAAAAGAGTCTTTTCCAACCTTTGGGAAAAAAAACTTTGGCTAAAATTTTGGCATCTGTATTTATAAGGGAGATTGGTCGGTAAGAGGAACATTGGATCGTTTCCTTTCTTTGCAATGAGGGTAATGCAGGCCTCTGAGAAAGACTTTGGAAGGGATCCCTGGCTGAATGACTCTGAGAGAACTGAGTGTAGGAGTGAGGAGAGTAATGGAGAAAGGACCCGGATATTTGCCGGACTGCATTACCAAGACAGCTGACACAATTTCTGACAGGAATATTGGGATCCCCAGTGCCTCTTTCAGTTTGGGTGTAAGTTTCGGCATATCGATCTGTTCAAGAAAGTGAGAAGATAAATTATTGTTGGTTTTGGATTCTGAAGTATATAAATGAGTATAAAAGTCCTTAAATGCTTTGTTAATTTGTAAATGATCTAGAGTTTTGTTGCCATTTTTTAATTGGATCTTAGGGATGATTTGTTTAGCCATGGCACCCTTCAAATGATTTGTAAGTAGTTTTCCTGACGTTTCTCCATGTACTGTATATAAAATGTGGATTTACTTTTCAAAAGTGATTGTTTTTTGAATGTGTGTGGTCAATAAATCAAACTTGGTTTTGAGTTCTAGTTGTTTTTTTGTACAGATTAGAAAATTTGTTTAGAGCATATTGTTTGTTTATCAATTTCTTTTATCTGCTGGGCCAAATCTGTTCTTACTTTTTGAGATTTTTGCTTCAGCTGGGCGGTATATGAAATGACTTGACCCCTGAGATGGGCCTTAAGGGTGTCCCAAACTATTGACAGTGGGATTCCAGGGTTCCTGTTGATGGATAGAAAGAAGGTTATTTTTCTATAAATGTGAGGAAATCATTGTTTGACAGCCATGTTGCATTGAATCTCCACTGTCTACTTCAGAGGAACATCAGTGAGGGACAGGGCCAAAGTCACTGGTGCGTGGTCCGAGATAAGTTACAGCTATGGACAGAAGGAATCTATGGTATGTTGTCAATGAAGAAGTAATTGATCCTTGAATATGTATGATAAACATAAGAGAATAAAGCCAACATTTTTCAGTCAGGTCATCTGGACAGTTTCTTTTTTTGTGCTGAAACGTTTCGCCTTGGATCTGGAAGGCTTCATCAGTCAAAGAAACACACAACAAAACTGATTCTTCCTCCAACAGCTTACTCCAAAGTGGAACAAACCTAGGGAAGAAAGAATATTCTCTCACAGCTGGGTGTAAAAAATGTCACACATCGCACAGGCCATATGGATAAAAAGGCACGGATAGTGTGGGACATCCTGCTGGCTGTGGCAGGGTTGATAGAGGATCTATATCCCAACTTTTTTAGCCAAGAGTCAGACTTGTGATGCTCCTGGTGAGATGCAACAACCACAACATGCAGGGGCGCCTACAAAGGAGGGCCAGGCGGGGGCAATGAAAAACCCAGGGTGGCACAGCAAAACCAAAAGCTATAAAAATTTTGAGAAATTCTGTCATTTATTTACATTTGACATTACTTGCTGAGCAAAGCTCTGTCACTACTCAACTCATTGAAGCTGAAATTTATATAATCAGAGTCAGAGTCAGAGTCAGAGTTTCTTTATTGTCATTCGCACCTCATGTGGTACATGTGGTGGAGCGAAATTATGTACACAGGGTCCCAGTTACATCCAACAATAAAATGTATAAGAAAAACAGTAATAACATCTAAGATATGAACTAAGAAAAACATCAACTAAATATACACTAAGCACTCATAACATAAAACATTGAACATTATAATAATAATATAAATATAAAGTTATATATTCTGCACAAAACATCCTGAGATGCATCATGATGTTGAAGACGTTGGTTTTATATCTGTTGTTCTTATTCAGGCACAAGATTTTAAGATCATGCTTAAATTTAAATTAATCGTGTATTCATACTTTCAAACTCCTAAATGATCAAAAACAATAATTGTTGTTTTATTGTTGTTGTTATTATTACGTTTTTGAGGTTCAACTAATCCAGCTATGTGAAATTAAAAGATTGTGACTCAGGAAGATCAAATTGTCTGAGCAAGGGGGGCCAGTGGGGATGGGGCACCAATATTTTAGGGGTGGCCATCCCTCCCTTTTGGTGGCGCCTCCGCAAAGTTCACACAGTATCACAGAGAATTTTAGATATATCCTGGAAGAAAGGATCTGGACAAAAAGACGAGCTTTCAGTGAGCAGAGACTGTGTTGTTCACCAGTAATTAAAGCTGTAAAATAATATAACAAGAAAAGAAGAAGGGGTTTCAGTAAATCTCCCATTACAGCTCTTATCAGATTTATTCTCAGACCTGGTGTTCCAGCAGTGACAAACAGAGTAATGAGCAACAGTCAGCTGTTTCAGGATCTGCTCCTACATGATACTTCGTGATAAGACTCGCCTACTCTTACCCTAACATCCTCTTCTGTGAGCTGAACTAACTGCTCACTTGCTGACCCGCGGGAGGGCGGGGCTTCTGACGTAACTCACCATGAATATTCAACGAGGGGCGGAGCCCCGACTGAAACTGGCTGCTGCTGGTTTGCTGACATAAATACCGAGCGGAGCCGGCGTGAGAGGAGCTTCGTGTCCGTAGGAGAGAGGATCCTCCGCCGTTTGTGTTTTTTATGATTGTCTTTCTGTAGCACTGAAGACCTCGAGAGTCAGGTAAGCAGCCGCTCTTCTCTCAGGAAGGTTTGTCCGAGCTAGAAGTGACAAAGGCAGCTTCGGGCTGGAGCTGGCGGCGGGTTTCAGGGACTGTTCAGGTGTGAGCAGGTGGACCCTGAGCGGGCGACAGTGTAATCAGAGCTGTAGGGGTGCTGAGCTGGGCCCGTGCTCGGCTCGACGTGGCACGCTGCGGACACAGCTGTACACAGCTGTACACATCTTCATCCTGTCTTTGTTCTAGTTCTGCTTTAAAACTTCCTGGTGTTCTGTTTCTGTAATGGTCCGAGCTGTCACCTGCTAATAACTTTATTATAAAGACTCTCCTCACATGCTCCGATGGCCCTGAAACATAATGTTTCTGTTTTATTAAAGGCTGGTTCTTATAATTTAATAAATCAGACCTTTAAACTGCCTTCTCATCAAAACAGAACCAAAAATCTGTTTTTGTTTTCAGATTTATTCTGTCAGACTGAGTTTTGAACAGAATGATCATAAACTTCTGCCTGGATCACTTTGTTCACATTTTGACTTTAAACTACATCAGCAGTCTCACGACTGGTGTGCGCGTGCGCGTGTGATGCGTGGCCCTGGGCACTCATCCCTCCAGATTAAAAGTTTTGTCACATCTGATGACGTGGGGCTGATGTGGTGTGTGTGTGCAGTGATGACGTGTGCACACCTGGAAGGAGCTGCTACAGAACTAAAAGCAGGAAGGAGGTTTCATCTGAAGGATGGGCCTATACCTCCAGCAGACACAATGTTCTGATATTCTGTAGGTTTCTGGGTTGATACCCCCCCCCACACACACACACACACACACACACACACAAGACGAACTGAGCAGAGTTCAGTGTGTGATGTTGTCTGAGCAGCATCATGAGGAACAGAGATGGATCAAGTTATGAAGCGACCTGTTTACAGGATGGATTTAAATGTTGGCGCTGTAATCCAGACTATGGCCCAGAACAGTTGATGGAATAAATCCCACTTCCTTTGCCACCTTTTGATGGCGTTGAACCCCTTCAGTGATCATTTTGTTGGCGATTTACCGCCGACCTGCCAAAAGACACATGACGTCATTTTAATAAGGCGGTTTTAACTCATGACAAAACTTTGAACAAACGTCTTGAAAGAAAAAGTCCCATTCTGACCAGTTATGTAACACAGCACCGAGCCATACGTGACAGGATTAAAGATACTTTTAGGGGTTTTATCTAAAATATATGTGCTTTGGGAATTCAAAGTCAAAAGTTTCTTTATTTGTCATATGCACCACATGTGGTGCATGTGGTGGAACAAAATTGTGTACACAGGGTCCCAGTTACATCCAACAAAAGTATAAATTGTAAAGGAAAATAGTAATAAGATCTAAGATATGAACTAGAAATGTGCTAAACTAAGAATACAGTAAGCACTAATAGTACTAAAACAATACAAAAAACTTGGTTTAAAAAACTTAAAATAAACCAGAAAAATAGTTATTTTAAACAAACAATATTAACAAACTTCATACATTAAATTATATTGTTGTTAATGATTAATACTCACAGGATCATTAATTGACTCGTTCCTCTTCAATCCACAAGCGAACTCCAGACACATTTAGTAAAAAGCACAATAATAAATCCAACACAATTAAACAATTATCTTTAATATAAATAACATTATGGTGAGGCCTTGTCATGTGTATTTTAAAACAATAAATGTTGGACTTGTTTTCTGAACATTGAAGCTGTAGGTTTTACACTTTGCAGCACAAATAACTGACTTTATTCTCACTCATAAATAAATAAAATAAAGCTCAGCGACTTGGAACTACAAATATTTTTAACCACAAATCAGTGTCACAGAAACAGAACAAAGAGCAGCCGTCGGCACCACGAGCGCCCTGAAACTACAACACGTGTAAAAACACATAGGTTTTCCTGTTTACACGAGCTCAAGAGAAAAACGTTACCCCTTCAGTTTAAACGTACAAGGTGGTTTAAAATAGAAGCTTTGCATTTGTTGGTTGCTCCACAGCCTCCATTGTTTCTGTCGTCGGTCTTATCTTTCCATAAACACAGTCCAGCATTATAGTTCCTGCTCCCAGCCTGCAGGATGAAGGTTCACGGTGCCGCTGCGCAGACCCGGTGGTTTCATCGTTGGGAACGTCACAAAAGTGCAAATGAAACCTGACACGTTTGAGGTTTACGTAGCAGCAGTGTGGTCAAAACTAAATCTGTGGCGTCACAAACGTATCTCCACGGAGAGGAACTTCCTGTTTCTGCCCTGCAGCAGGAAGTTAAACAGTCATGACTCAACGAGTGTCCGACTGACCGTCCCGTACATCTGTGAGGTGGAGGCCACCCACATCCAGGATGTCAGGGCGGATGTTGTGCGTTGACGCGAGCCAGCAGCTTCAGCCACATCTGAGATTCAAACTGAACTTTACAGTAAACTCCACCACGATGTCATGGGCTTCTCAAGCGCTGGCTGCTGGTTCCCTCTTTGGCCCCGTCAGCTCTCTGCTGGGTCTCTGACTCGTGTCAGGTGATGTTTGAGCTCTTTGACCTTCAGTTTCTGACGAGTTGAATCGAAGCGGGGCGTCTTGGATTCACACGCCGCAGGCGCTCCTTCCTCTGAGGGAAAACAAGACGCTTTACGTCTTTCTGCTCGCTGACCTGAAGCTGGGAGGAAATCCACATGCAGTCCCCAGACGTCGTCTTACAGGCGCTGCCCCCTCACCCAGGTTGCCGTGGTAACAGAGCAGTGTTTGTGGAGCAGGACACAGCAGGATTACCTCTGGAGAGCTGACACTGACCCATTTCATAGAAAGTACTCTGACCACTGATGCGACATCTTTACTACATTAAGTATTTTACAAAATATTATTGGTCTGCCCACAGAAAAGTGGCAAACATCTGTCAGACACGTCCCACACAGCTGCCCATACGTTCACAGCGAGCCACCTTGTGTTGGAAAACAAAGTGGTCTCTTTATTTGCTCTGAGCCCCGGCGTCTCTGAGACGTTTCACTTTAATTTAATAAGGAATCCCTCTGTTATGTCTACTCGGATCTCTAAAGGAAATAACATGGTTCTCCAGCGAGGCCCTTTTAATTTGGGCCTTATGCTTATCAACAGGCTGAGGAGACAGAGCTGTGTAAACGTGTCACGATTTAAATGGTCTCAATTAGCTTGATTATGGTCATAAACAGGGCTGAAAATGTGGGTGGCAGTAAGCAGAGAGGAGCGCTTCATGAAACAGGCTTGTGTTGTTGGAGTTGAATTAGCTGCTCAAGACAAACGGGCCTCATTATGCATCTTAAAACTGCAAGTTTTAGACGATTAAGTCCAACGATGAAATGCTTTGAATGTGATCAGATTATGAGCACATTTACAAATAAGCTACAATAAACTGGTGAACGCCAGCAATAAAAAAATAAGCAGGGTTGACTGAGAGCAATCTACAAGGGTCCCATTACCTTTTATGTATAAATTAGTATTTTTTTTCTGTGTCTGTGTTGTGATTCCTATCCCTTTTTCTGTCTTTTGCTCGCAGACTGCACCGAAGAGGAGCTTGGACGGCATGCAAAGTTGTGAAATTTCCTCAGACAGCACTGATGATCCTCTTAGTAGTGGCCTTGGCACTCATCGGCAGCCTCGAATAGTAGTGATCGGTGCTGGCTTGGCCGGCCTCGCTGCAACAAGGGTCCTACTGCGGAACGGCTTCACGGATGTCACTGTCCTAGAGGCGTCAGACCACATCGGCGGGAGAGTTCAGAGCATTCAGCACGGTGAAAGGATGCCGTCCTTCGTGTTTTACATGCAGGAGCACTGATTCAGTGGTTCAGACGTTACCTGTGCAAACACCAAATTATCATTAGACCTGCTGCAGTCTGGCAGCCAAATGTGGCCGTGGCCATTGTCTCTGAAGAGGAATCTCTTCTGTCCACAGATGATCCACATTTACACTCCTATAATAATCTGCTCAGTCTAAGCCAGGGGTCTGCAACCTGCAGCTCTTTGGTCTTTCTGCGGTGAGTCTTTGGTCCCTCTCCGGTGGGTCTATGGTCCCACTGCTGCGCGTCTTTGGTCTCTCTCCAGGGGTCTTTGGTCCCTCTGAGGCGGGTCTTTGGTCCCTCTGCGGGGGTCTTTGGTCCCTCTGCGGCGGGTCTATGGTCCCACTGCAGCAGGTCTTTGGTCCCTCTGCGGCGGGTCTTTGTGTCCCTCTGCGGTGGGTTGTTGGTCCCTCTGCGGTGGGTCGTTGGTCCCTCTGCGGTGGGTCATTGGTCCCTCTGCGGTGGGTCATTGGTCCCTCTGCAGTGGGTCGTTGGTCCCTCTGCGGTGGGTCGTTGGTCCCTCTGCGGGGGTCTTTGGTCCCTATGCGGTGGGTCGTTGGTCCCTCTGCGGTGGGTCGTTGGTCCCTCTGC